TGCGTTTTCGTTGTTATTACAGACCCACTTACCAAGTTGTAACAATGAGAATCTTTTATGGTAAAATAAAGACGTTTAAGTCTAAATGGAAACCCAAATGTTTACTTCATGGATAATTATTAAATGAAACGAAAGCATTTCAAAACAAACAGAATATCATTGGCCAGTGATTTAAAAACTGTAACTGTATGATTAATCTCTGGACGTGGAAGTAAAAACTGAGACATTAGGGGAAACAGAGTTTGCAATAACAAAGTCAAACTAAATAAGAGCAAGACAAGATATCTAGAGACATGGTCATTGGACGATAACAATCTACCCACTCTTGCTTATGTGTGAATAAAAAGCAGGAGAATCACTTCTGCAGACAGAAGTCACCAGACTAAACTGTGTTGTCGTTGTTATTACAGACCCCCCCACCAAACTGTGATAAGGGAAATAGTCATTGATTGGTGTGTCCTGTCTCTTGTAAAGATTGCGTATGGCAGAAAGAGACAGATATTCAGTGGAGCGATAGAATGAGCCGGTCATATATCCATCATATTTAGAAGTAGATCATATAAAAATAATCTTGAAATCAAGGTGAAATTAATACGCAATAGATGTTCATGACATGGAATTTCATTGAGATTGTAAACGTTCATCGTCACTGGAGAAAGTGGCTGATCGGTAACGATAAACGATAATAATTTGGTCCTTGAGTAATTAAAAATTTTTAAAAAATAAATGGCTGTCCATTCGTATCCAAGGATACCAGTCTACTAGGGCGGCTAGTCAATCCTTGTTACAGACAAACGCCAGGCACTTTTTATGTTTGTTAAACAACCACTGAGCTCAACTGGAGTTTATACTGTAACTATGCTGAGGTCTTTAGTTACAATTTCTGGGAGAGAGAGAGCGCGTTATCTGGCGTGGTCAACAGTCCGGACATAAATTCTTCAGGTTTCAATGCAAAGAAACATTCAATATAATTTTTAATTCCTTCATAATAGTTTTCCCTTAAAAGTGTTACAGTGATCTGAAAATACAAAAGTCAGATAAACAAATCAACCATGGTGAAACTAAACTCAGATCACACAGTTGGAAAGAAAATGTTGTAACCACTTGGCTATGTAAACAGGCACATACATACATATGCATTGTTTTAACCAAGAACTAAGGAAACGGAAGCAACGTTTTCAGCCATTATTCAAAACGGAAGCACCGTTTCAGCCATTGTTCAGACACAGAAGTACCGTGTCGGCCATTTTGTTTTATGTGTAAATATAAATCAGGAGTATCGCTTGTGCAGGCAAAAGACACCAGACTAAACAGCGTTGTCATTACAAACTCCCTTACCAAGTTGTGACAAGGGTAATAGTCATTTTTGGTCTGATCTACCTCTTGTAAATATTGTGTATGGCCGGAGACAGATATTCACTGGAGCGATAAAATGAGCCGGCCATATGTCATTCATATTTTGAAGTAGATCATATAAAAATAATCTTGAGATCAAGGTGAACTTGATACGCAATAGACGAATAGATGAATGAGGCTGATCGGTAAGGATAAACTATACTAATTTGGTGCTGGAGTCATTGAAATTTAAAAAATAAATGGCTGGCCACTCGTATCCGAGGATACTAGTCGATAAGGCGGCTAGTCAATCCCTGTAGGGACAAATGCCAGGCATCTATTTTTAAGTTTGTTTAACACACAGAGAGAACAACTGGGGTTTATACTATGCCGAGAGGAGTTTAGTTACATTTTCTGGGAGAGAACGCGTTATCTAGCATGGTGAAGTTCTGAACAAGGTCAGCACGCTGAAATCCACGGACACGATAACATTTGATTTCGTGCTAGTACAAGCATAGGCTCCCAAAGATTTCCGTCAAAACAGTTTTACTCACAAGAAAAAAAGGAGAAGTTATGGAGAGTTATGATCACCCACGTCCTGAAGGGACATGTTATATAGATAGAAGAGAATTATTTATTGATGTATATGGAATGATATGCTAAATAATACATATATGATTCAAAGCCCTTTATCGTTTTTATTTATTGATAAATATGATTTATATTCCTTATAATTGCAAAATAAAGTCTGAAAACAAAGCCTCATACTTCATAAAGCGAGAAGAATGATTTGCATAATAAAATCTGACATTTTAAATATAAGGGAAGGTTCTGGAAAGTTTAACCACGCCCACTTGACAGAATTAGTATTAGAGCGATTAAATATAAGAAAATATCTATCAACCTATCTGAAAATCGCTCTGTATGTATAGATTCACTGCGGTTTTCAAACATGTATATGAAGAAGCATGCATACAGACACACACGCACACACATATATATGTATATATAAATATATATATGATATATATATTTATATCTATCTATTTCTATATATATCAGTATATATATATATATATATATATATATATATATATATATATATATATATATATATATATATATATAGTATTACTATATATAAGTATATATATATATATATATATATATATTTTATATCTCTCTATATACATATATCAGTATATATATATATATATATATATATATATATATATATATATATATATATATATATATATATATATATAATATCAGTAAATTACGAAATATACATATCAGTAGTCATATATATAGGTATAATTTATATATATATATATATATATATATATATATATATATATATATATACGTATAAATATATATACATATAAATATATACACATAAATATATATCTGTATATATATATATATATATATATATATATATATATATATATATATATATATATATATGTATGTATGTATGTACAATGGTGTGAGCATATTTGAGTTTGTGCATGTGCGTTTGTGTGTGTGTACGTGCATGTTTCCTGATTTTTCTGGGTCGGGCATTTAAGTTTTTCCCCCGGTTTTCAGCTAATTGATCAAGTTGTCCCCATATTTATTGGCTATCTCCCCCTGTCTGCGCCATATCGACGCTTACGGGATTTTTTCGTCTCATTAGAGATACCTTTGAAATGGCAAAGCAAATGGCTCGTCTCAGGATTGCATAGGTGCTGAGATAACCTAATGATGTCCGGGAGTGGGCAAGATGTCGGTGTTTAATTATGGCGCCCTTTTAGACAGATTCGCCCGAAGAGTGTAAGAGAAGAAAGTGAAGAAGACATGTTAATTTTAGAAAGGGAGAGGCAAATGAAAAAGAAAGATTATTATTTGATGAGGGAGAGTGTAGTTAAGAAAGATGAAGAAATGATAAAGAAAATATGAAACCAAAGGAGGGAAAGCGGTTTGTTTTGTTTAGTTATACTGCATATCAACCTCAATAGGTTATTTAATGCCGACAACATTTTTAGGATAGATTTGTATGAATAGAATATGTATTCTTTGGTTTAGATTGGTTTGGTTTATTTTGTTGTACAGTATATCAACCTCAATAGGTTATTTAATGCCGACAACATTTTTAGGATAGATTCGTATGAATAGAATATGTATTCTTTGGTTTAGATTGGTTTGGTTTATTTTGTTTTACAGCATATCAACCTCAATAGGGTATTTAAGGCCGACAACATTTTTAGGATAGATTCGTATGAATAGAACATGTATTCTTTGGTTTAGATTGGTTTGGTTTATTTTGTTGTACAGTATATCAACCTCAATAGGTTATTTAATGCCGACAACATTTTTAGGATAGATTCGTATGAATAGAATATGTATTCATTGGTTTAGATTGGTTTAGTTTATTTTGTTTTAAGGCATATCATCCTCAATGGGTTATTTAATGCCAACAACATTTTTAGGATAGATTCGTATGAATAAAATATGTATTCATTGGTTTAGATTGGTTTAGTTTATTTTGCTTTAAGGCATATCAACCTCAATGGGTTATTTAATGCCTACAAGACTTTTATTACTGGTAACATTTTTTTTCAAAATAGTATGGCTGGTAATATTTTTTTTTCCAAAAATGTATTGTTGGTAATATTTTTTCTTTACAAATGTGTTTTTGGAAAAACTTTGTTCAAAAATATATTGCTGGTAATAATTTTTACTTGAATAATTATTCCTTGTAATTTTTTTAACAAAAACGTATTGTTGGTATTAAAACCTCTTGTTACACTTTCATGGTGTTTTGAACCCAATTCGGGCGTTTAGTATTTGCCCATACCTAGAGCCCTAACAGGTGCTACCATCCCGGTTAAAGTGGACCTGGGAACACCAGCTATTTCAATTAAGAGTCGGCTCCTGAAATCCTCCTTATCAGAGGCCTTGCTGTTGGATGTCTTACCCAGGACGCAGATGTATTTTGTCGTCATACCCAGGAAGGTGAGAAAGGTTTTAAAACATATCACCGTCTTAAAATTCCTTGAACTATAAAATAAATATATCGACAATGTTTCTATCACATCATTTTTCGTAAACATCAGTGAGAATTTGATGTTATTAGCTTACACTTTTCAGAATATTTGAGAACAAAAAATTAATTTTAAATATTTGATGACTATTTTTCAAGTTCTTAAAGCAAAATTTGCTGATGATTTTTTTTGTAATTGTATTCTAAATCAAAAAGACAAAATACGCACAGAAATACATCAAAGATGTAGTTTTGCAGTTCAATTCTAACTCAATAGGAGTAGATAGATTCGACATTCGGTTCATTCTAATGTCTACATTATGTCTAATGTCTCTATAATTCTAACGAATCAGAAATTTTATTTGCTATTTATTTATTTTCTTCAATAGGAGCAAAGAGATTCTCGTATCGCAATCCTACCCGGCCTTTTTAACAGGTGTAGAGATTTATGTCTTGTTTCCTGTTTAGGATTGGGTTTCCGGTTCCTTCAAAGATATTTTCATAGCTTTTCACTATCTATAACTCCATGCGGCATAGTGGCATTATTACCTTGCTGGGAGTAAATTGATTCTATCTATCTATCTATCTATCTATCTATCTATCTATCTATCTATCTATCTATCTATCTATCTATCTATGTCTGTTTGTGTGTGGACAGGGAGAATGGAAATGATGGAAGTCTGGACAGAGAGTACAGAATATATTGAAATCGATAGATAATAAAAATAGTCTCAGATAGATAGATGGATAGATAGATAGATAAATAAGTAAAAATAGACTGGGATAGATAGATAGATAGATAGATAGATAGATAGATAGATAGATAGATAGATGATAGAATAGATGAACAGATATGACACGATAGATAGATAGATTGAATAGAATGAGATAGATAGATAGATAGATAGATAGATAGATAGATAATGGACATAACGTGATAGATAGATAGATAGATAGATAGATAGATAGATAGATAGATAGAAACAGAATGATATAGATAATGGAGATAATAAGATAGATTTGAATAGAATGAGATAGATCTGAATAGAGTGAGATAGATAGATATGAATAGAATGAGATAGATAGATAGATAGATAGATAGATAGATAGATAGATAGATATGAATAGACTGAGATTTATAGATATATATATAGATAGATAGGTAGATAGATAGATATGAATAGGCTGAGATAGATAGATAGATAGATAGATAGATAGATAGATAGATAGATAGATAGATAGATATGAACACGATATGATAGATAGATATGAATAGAGTATAATAGATAGATAGATAGATAGATAGATAGATAGATAGATAGATAGATAGATAGATAATAAAAAATAGACTCAGGTAGATGGATAGATAGATAAGTAAATATAGACTGCGATAGATAGATAGATATGTAAAATAGACAAGAGTCAGACAGACAGATAATAAACATAGACTCAGATAGATAGATAGATAGATAAATAGATAGATAGATAGATAAATAGATAGATAGATAGATAGATAGATAGATGGAATCACGGAACTGGCATAAAAGAAAAAAAAAACACATCCGTTAAAACCTTAAGAACAAATTATCATTAAAAAAATGGAATAAGAATTCAATGCTAAAGAAAATTCGCCAACAGTTTCGGAACGAGACTCATGTTACCTGCCAACTCCCAAGAAGCAACCGGCTATCGTTGAACGTTTAAACCGAATCTAATCAACGGCGTTGAGCTCAATCGGCCTCGTAAATAGAAAAAAAAGTGCCTCAACGTTTTCTTCTTGTCATCTTCAATCTTCCGCTATATCAAGGATTTTATTTTATTTTTTCCTCTGATATGATATTGAATTATTTCAAATTGAACTTTGCTACGGGTAATATGAAAATTTACTTAGATCTTTGTTGATTTAGGGTGGATTAAAATACGGCTGGTCCATAACGTAATAAGGGAAAAAAGAAGCCCAATAAGAAGAAAAGGAGAGAAAAGGGAAAGACAAAAGAAAACAAGGAAGAAGAATGAGAAAAAATACTGAGAACTAAAAAATGCAGAAAGCAACGGAGGAAAGTAAGGGACTTTGTGATTAGGGTGAAGGAACTAAAAACGTAAGAAAAAAAACGGAAAGAAAGAATACAAGAATGGAAGAATGAAAGAAAAGAAATGAAAAGAGAAGAGGAAAAAAAGGAAGAAATTAAGTAAATAAAAACGAAAATGAAAACAATGAATAAAGTGAAGGGAGAAAGAACGAAAGAGAAATATGAAAGAAAAATAGGGAGAAAGGAAAAAAGAAAAGGAAGAAGAAACAGAAAAGAGGACGAAGAAGAAAAGAGAATAAACAATAAAAAGTAAAGAAGAAATAAAAGAAGAGAAGGAAGAAGAAATGAAGGGAAGAAAGTAGAAAAGGAAATAAAGAAAAAGAAAGAAAGAAATGAAGACAAAGAAGAAAAAGATGGGAAGATTAAAAAGAAAGAAAAACAACCGAAGACAGAAAAATAGAAAAGAGCGTACCAAATCTAAAAGAAAAAGGAATAATTATAGAAATGAAAAAGACAGAGGGAGGAAGGAAGACAGGTAGGAAGGCAAGCAGGAAGGAAGGAAGGAAGGTAGGAGGGGAGGCAGGCAGGAAGGAAAGAAAGGAAGGAAGACTTGAAGGAAAGAAGGAAGAAAGTCAAGCAAGCAGGGAGGCAGGCAGGAAGGAAGGAAGGCAATTAGGCAGGAACGAAGGCAGGATGGCCGGCAAAAAAGAAGAAAGGCAGATAGGCTGAGAAGAAGGAAGGAAGTCAGAGCTGCAGAAAGGAAGGAATGGGGAGGGGCAGAAAAGAAGGAAGGAAAGAATGAATGAATGAATGAATGAATGAAGGAAGGATGGAAGGAAGGAATAAACGAAGGATGGGAGGCAGGTAGGGAGGAAGGAAGGAAGGCACGCAGGAAAAAAAAAGATGAAAGGCAGACAAACAGGCAGGAAGAATAGACGGAAGGAAGGACAGCAGACCAGCAGAAAGGAAAGAATTGTCAGGCAAGAAGGAATGAAATAATGAATGAATGAAGGAAGGCAGGAAGGAAGAAATGGAAGCAGGCAGTCAGAAAGGAATGTAGCAAAAAAGAAAGAATGAAGACATACAGGCAGAAAGAACGGGAGGAATGAAGGAGAGAAGGAAGGAAGACAGGCAGACAGGCAGAAAGGAGGGAATGCAGGCGGGCAGGCAGGAAGGAATGAACGTAGGGTAGAATGAAGGAAGAAATGCAAGCAGGCAGACAAGCAGGCTGGAAGAAGGTAGCAAAAAGAAAGAAAGAAGGAAGACAGACAGGCAGAAAGAAAAGGAGGAATGAAGGACAGAAAGAAGAAACACGGGCAGGCAGGAAGGATGGAAGGCAGGCAGGAAGGAATGAGGGAGGCGGGAAAAAGGAAGGAATGCCGACGGACATGCAGAAAGGAATGATGGAACGTAGTGAGAAATGAAAGTAGAAATGCAAGCAGATAGACAGGCAGGCAGGAAGGAAGGTAGCAAAAAAGAAAGAAAGAAGGAAGGAAGACAAACAGACAGGCAGAAAAAAGGAGGAATGAAGGAGAGAACAAAGGAAGACAGGCAGACAGGCAGGAAGGAAGGCAGGTAGACAAGAAGGAAGGAAGGAAAGAAAGCAGGCAGGAAGGAAGGATGGAAGGAAGGAAGGCAGGCAGGAAAAGAAGGAATGAACGACGAATGGAAGGCAGGCAGAAAGGAACGAAGGAAGGAAGGCACGCGGGAATGAATGAATGAAAGATGGAAGGCAGAAAGGCAGCCAGGAAAAAAAGGAAGGAAGGAAACAAAGCAGACCAACAGAAAGGAAGGAATGGAGTCAGGCAAGAAGGAAGAAAAGAATTAATGTAAGCAGGAAGGAAGGAAGGAAGGCGGGCAAAAAAGAAGGAAGGAAGGAATGCAGACGGACATGCAGAAAGGAATGACGGAAGGTAGAGTAGAATGAAGGGAGAAATGCAAGCAAACAGACAGGCAGACAGGAAAAAGGTAGGAAAATAGAAAGAAAGAAGGAAGGAAGGAAGGCAGACAAGCAGGCAGAGAGGCAAGTAGGCAGAAATGAAAGAAGGCAAGCAGGCAGGCAGGATGGAAGGAATTAACGAAGGTTGGAAGGCAGGCAGAAAAGAAGGAACGGTGGGAAGCAAACGGGCAATAAAGGATGGAATGGAGGCTGCTAAGAAGGAAAGAATGAAGGGATGGAAGGAAGGGAGACGTACAAAAAAGAAGGAAGGAAGGAAGGCAGACTGACAGGCAGAAAGAAATGATGGAAGGAAGGGAGTAATGAAGGAAGAAATGGAAGCAGGCAGGCAGGAAGGAATGTAGCAAAAAAGAAAGAAGGAAGAAGGAAGACATACAGGCAGAAAGAACGTGAGAAATGAAAGAGAGAAGGAATGAAGACAGGCAGTCAGACAGGCAGGATGGAGGGAATACAGGAAGGAAGGAAGGAAGGAAGGAAGGAAGGAAAGCAGACAGGAAGGAAGGATGGAAGTAAGGCAGGCAGGAAGGAATGAACGAAGGATAGAAGGCAGGAAGGAATGAAGGATGGATGGAAGGCACGCAGGCAGGAACGAACGAAGCATGGAAGGCAGACAGCCAGGTAGGAAGGAAGGAACGGAGGAAGGAAAGTAGACAGGAAGGCAGGCAAAGGGAAGGAAGGAAAGAAGGCAGTCAATTTGGCAGGAAGGAATGAAGTAAGGAAAAATAAATAGAGTTTAACACTTTGAGCCCTGTGTTCCTGAACAGTTTTAACCATTCTGCTTGAGCTCATGTGTCAAAATTCGCAAATAATTGGTATATAATGTTCCACAGTAGATATAAAAATAGTTACAAGTGTTTACCTACCGTTCAACCTGTGGCTTGGCATTACGTCATTTTTTCTACCACTGTTCAACCAATGGCTGGGCATTACGTCATACGGTAAAGCGGTCGTCTGGGCTCAAACAGTTAAGAATAAAAAGGAAGAAAATAAAAACTAGCAAGATGGATAAAATGGGTTGAAAGAAGCTAGATATGGAAATGGGAAGAGAGACTGGGAGACAGTAAGAAAAAAGAAAGTAAAATAGAGGAAGAAATGAAAGTAGAAAAGATAGATGCGAAGAAATGTATCCCGATGGTAAGAACGAGGGAGGGATGCGAAAATAAGAAAACAAAGAAGAAAAGAAAGAAAAATAGTATTAAACAAAATTAGAAAAGAAAGGTAGGTGAAAATAGAGAGGTGGGTAGTCTAAGCAAGACTGGAAGAAATAAGAAAAAAAAACGACAAAATAAAAGAAAGAAATAAAGGAAGAAAGGGAGGGTGAAAAAGAAATAGAAAAGAATGAAGTAGAGATACAAAGAAAAACAAAGAAAGAAAAATAAAGAAGAAAAGTAAACGAGAGGAAGGTGATGCGCAAAAAGAGAAAATCCATACAACCAAAGAAAAGAAGGGAAGAAAGAAAAACAAGAAAATTGAGAAAGAAAAAAGAAGGAAAGGAAGAATGAAAAAGAAGGAAAGGAAGAAAGAAAATTAAGAAGAAAAATAAAGAGGTAAAAAGAAGCAACAAGAGATAAAAAAAAAACAATATAAAAGAGGAGAAAGATGAAAAGAAATGAGAGAGCAAGAGTTGGGCCCCAAAAAGAAAGAAAAAGACAGAGAGAGCAAAACGAACTAAAGAAGGAAGAAAGATTGATAAAGAAATACACGAAGAAAAAGACGACAAAGAAATATAAAATAGATAAGATAAAAAAGGTTTGAAAAAATGAATAAATGACACAGAGAAAGAAAGAAATGAAGAAAAAGTATAAGGAAAGCAGAGATTGAAAAAAGAATGAAGGAAGGAAAGAAAATGATTGGTATATAGCGAGACAATTGAGAAAAGGAAGAGCAGAATCGAAGAAAGAAAGAATGAAAGCCCAGATAAAAGAAAAAACGAAATATAAAAGAAGGGAAGTCCAAATAATAAAAAAAAAAAAATAGGAAAGAAGGAAAATCCAAATAAATAAAAAGAAATACGAAAGAAGGAAAGTTCAAGTAAAAAAAAACAACGAAAATACGAAAAGAAATAAATAAAAAAAAAGAAATAGGAAAGAAGGAAATCCAAAAAAAAAACGAAATACGAAAATACGAAAGAAGGAAAAATAAAAAAAAAAAAAAAAAAAAAAAAATACGAAAGGAAATCCAAATAAAAAAGAAACGAAATACGAAAGAAGGAAATCCAAATAAAAAAAAAAAGAAATAGGAAAGGAGGAAAGTCTAAGGCAAAAAAGAAACGAAATACGAAAGAAGGAAATCCAAATAAAAAAAAAACGAAATACGAAAGAAGGAAAGTCCAAATAAAAAAAAACGAAATACGAAACGAAAAAAAAAAAAGAAAAAGGAAAGTACAAAAAAAAAAACAAAAAAGAAACGAAATACGAAAGAAGGAAAGTACAAAAAAAAAAAAATGAAACGAAATACGAAAGAAGGAAAGTCCAAATAAAAAACAAAAAAAACAAATACGAAAGAAGGAAAGAAAAAGGAGGCAATTTGTTATATTGGAAAAGAACTGAAAAAAAAAAAAAAAAAAACGAAATACGAAAGAAGGAAAGTCCAAATATCCAAAAAAAGGATTTATACGAAGAATTAAAATACCAAATAAAAAAAATATACACTAAATACGAAAGAAGGAAAAGTATAAACATGTATATGTGCGTAAAAAAAAATAATTGAAACACGGAAAGGATGAAAAGTTTCAATAAAAAAAAAACGAAATACTAAAATAATCAATTCTAAAAAAAAAGTATGGAGAAACAGTTTACATCAAAACGTCAAAGTCCAAATTAAAAAAATTTGGTTTTTTTTCGCCAAATCATTGAAAGAACAGCCAGAAAATCTTTTAAATTGTAAGAAAAAAACATAATGAAATTATACAAGTCCTACTGAAAGAAGGAAAGTTCAGATAGAAAAAGAAAATACACCAGCAAAGGAATGGGGAATTATTGAAAAGGAAGGCGTAAGTTAATGCAACGAACCCGATTGGACCGTTATTTCCAATTCCGGGCCGTTCTTCAAAGACGTACATCCACGCTTAAAACCTGGTAACCTTCAAAAAATTCGACCTGATAACTTTTGTTCGAAAGTGCCGTTGTTTCAACGATCACAAAGCCATATTTTTTTGATAACGCATCTAAATTTTAAAATTCGCCTATTTTGACCAGTTTTTTTGTAAATTATATATTCTTTGTTATTATTTTTAATAAACTTCATTGTATTGTCATAAAATAAAGTATAGAGATGTATTGTATGATTCTTGACGTAAATTTACAGAACGTGATTCCAAAATTAAGGAAATTTAAGACATTTTCGCCTCAATAAATTTCTTTCTCTGGCAAGACTTACCACGATGGGGGACTAATGCATTGTTTCGTGAAACATCGCTTTTGTGTTCATACAATCTTTCAACTTCTAGATGTCTCACCCGCGTACTTTATGGGACAGTCTTTACAATTTATTTTCCATAATTTTCAGTTCTGGCTTAATGTTGCTATTTTGGGGCTTATTAAATTCGTTATTGTATCGAAATATTTGTAAGGGCATGTTCTCTCGCGTGACAACTTTCATTTCGCCGTAAAGAGAGCTGCTTCTGAATATAATTCTTCCTATTGTATCTACCGCAGATCTTCTGAAGCGGATAAGCCCTTGACGTATGAGTTAGAGAGACCATGACAGTTTTCTCGTTCGCCTTGACCCTTGTTTCCACGGACAGACACTGATGTTAAATTAAATAGCAGTTGTTATACTGAAGGGCAAGTTCTGAGATGAGGTTTATGTAATTTACATTATTCGAACTACTGTCCTTATCTTTGTCGCCGTATTTATTACAACGTTTCGGCCTTTCAGTATCTCTCTATATTTCTGAGATGAGGTATTATTACACTATTTAAATTCGGACTATTTTCCTCATCTTTGTAGATATTTATTACAACGTTTTTTTTTACGCCCGATTCTTCAGGTGGTTGGAATATTGAACTTAACCTTTATTTCGCTCACTGGGGTAGACTGTTCTAGTTCCACGTGCCATGTTTAATGGATGTCAATCAGTTATCTCCTGTTTTCCCTCTCCAAGTTCTCCACTGCCTTAACCAGGTATTGAACTCACACTCCTTGGGTCCTGTCACTGGATCTAACCAACGCCTTTATCCACTGTTGTTATTTGTCTCAGTCGTGACCAATATTTTTATAGAAAGAATCTTAGACTAACAATGGGATCAACTCTCAGTCGCATAAGAGCATGAAAGACAGTAGGAAATAAAAAGGAAAGGAAAATGGAGGAAGAAATGAAAGTAGAAAAGGTAGATGAGGAGAAATGTATTAGTAGGAATATTGAAGAATAAGCAAATAATGATATTGAAAAGAGAATTCTTTTAGGCTAGACCTTTCCGAAACATTCTACCTCAAGAATCAACTTATCTCCAAAATGTCATAGATGCGTTATTAACAGAAATAAGTGATCTTGTAAATAAACTAAAGAATATTTAACATACAACTGAATTTGCATATGCGACACTAATTAACCAATAGATTACCCTATTTGATATAATGTTAAAATGCATTGACAATGTTTTTAAAAATTCAAAGAAGAATCTGCAACTTCATCGGTCCTGACATTGCATTTCGGTTTTTTTCCCATCAATGTAATTATATATTCTTTTTTATTATTTTTTTCAAAGAGATTGTTCTGATGAACTTTATTTATTGTTTACAAATTTAAAATAAAGTTCGGTCTCATCATTTTACAGATGTAATTGTAGATATATTCTTGACGTAAATTTTACACAACTCGTTGATTCTCTTTTCAATTTTTTGCTTTCCAGTCAAATTTTCAATAACATTTTCAATGTCAATCGTCATCTTCTTTCTTCTGTAATCCCAGCAGTCAGGTAACCCCTTGGTCTTGGGACTTTATTGCATTGTTTTTTTAGATTCTTTTCATCCAGCATAAAACCAAATCGCTTTTGTGTTTCAATGCATACGAATGCTTTCATATAAAGGTGCTAGATGATTCTCACACCTAGGTTACATGCTTAGGGACAGTATCTTTCGATACAATTTATTTTTTTCCATAATTTTTTCTGTTCTGGTCTGTTCTGCTATTTACCCATAGCTAGGTGGAGAGAATGAGAGGATTCATTTTTTTCTCAAGGGGCACGTAAGTGAATGTAATTCAACTGTTAACTTGATTCCTCAATCCGAAATATCCATTACTCCACCGTGATTTGATATAACCGTTCTAATTCATGCAGTTTAGGCACCAGTTGAAAGAAGCTCGTCAAAATAGCTGCCATGAAAATAATTGTAGAGGAAAGACACATCACATACGCGAGAAAATGACTGTAGACGAGATGCCAGATCAGGACCTATCATATTGCATATCCGTCCCTTGATTTTGACGAGGAGTTTGATATACTCGTTCTAATTGATTTCAGTGAGAAACGTTACACTGAGAATATGCAATGAGATACTCTCCTGGATGTTAACATTAAATATGCTGATGGAAGGCAAAAAAAAGAACGATTAAAAGAGATTAGCTTAGTTTTGGGGGCGTTAAAATGAACAAGTTATTTCTTGTCCCTGTTAACAACAGATTGAATGTCATTTTTGGGATCAGCTTCCAATTTGATTTTATCAAACTCATCAGACTTCTTATTAAATCAATCGAGATGCCAAGTTGACAACTGGTGACACCGTGAGGATCGTTCAGAAAATTTAGTAATAATGCCGGACTGAAAGACTATTAATGCAGGTCAGGACGGATAACTGAATTATTTTGGGTATGAGAAATTATTGCTACCTTTTCGTTTTTGACACATGGTACAGTGGATAAAGGCATTAGTTAGATCTAGTGACAGGACGCAAAAAGTGTAAGTTCAATACCTGATTAAGGCAGTGGAGAACTTGGAGAGGGGAATTAACAGGAGATAACTGATAACTATCTATTAAACATGGCACATGGAACTAGAACAGTACCCAAGTGAGCGAAATAAAGGATTCAATTCGTTAAAGATGAAGAAGGTCGGAGCGTACAATGGCCGAAATCCGAATAAATATGACGACAAAGATTAAGAATAGTCCGAATAATGTAAAATATAATACATCATCTCAGAAATATAGACAGATACTGAAAGGCCGAAACGTTGTAATAAATATGGCGACAAAGATGAGGTCAATAGTCCGAATAATGTAAATAGTGTACATAATACCTCATCTCAGAAATATAGACAGTTACAGAACATAATGCTTCCTCAAATAACACTTAACCCTATCATTTTTTTTATATTGTAATCAGATGAATTCTAAATATAAGCTAAATGAAAAAAATCCTAAAAAAACTCGTAAATGCTAGTATGTCCCTCACAGATCCTAGTTAAAGAAATATATATTTTCCTTCTACTCCACCCTCGGCAAAGAAGCTCATACCAACAGAACATCATTCTGTTAGCAACGAGCAGACTGGGACTCTTTCCGGGATTTCTTTCGCAATGTCCCCTGTGATGTGGTCTTTAAGCTCCCCGTTGAAGAATACGCTTCCGAGGTCCCCTCCTAAGTAAAAGGTGGGATCGAGGCTTTCATCCCCACAAGGAAATATAAGATTAAATCCTCTTGGTTCTCTGCTACTTGCTCAGTTGCCATTGCCCATGGGTATGACTTCTTCCCTCTATGTCGTAGTGCCATGTCTTATTGCATGAGACGTCACTTTGTCTCAACCCGTAACGAGTGCAAGCCTGGCCTCAATGAAGCAAAGTCACTATTTGCTGATAGAATGAAACAACGTATCTCGTAAATTCGGCTCCAAAGATTATTGGCGTCTCTGCAATAGCGTACTTAACAACAGCAAACCCACAATACCTCCTTTGCTCAACCAATTTGAAGTTCCTGATCTCCTCAGCTCGGAAATTCACATCCAACTCAACGCTCGACTCATTCAGCTGATTTCCCCGCTAGAACTGAGACTCTATTGATCGAGTTTCACATAACCCCGTCCTTGGTAATGGGCATCATTTCTAAATTAGACCCCTATAAGGCTAGCAGTGGAGACGGGATAAGAGCTATTGTCATGAAGAAATGTGCTAATGAACTGGCCCCTGCCTCACCAATTTATATAACTACTGCCTTATTGAATCTTGTTTTCCAGCCTGTTGGAAGTATTCATGTTCATGTCTTTAAGAATTCTGGAGACCCTTCTGACCGAACTAACTACCTTACTATTAGTCTCCTACTACTCTTCGGCAAAGTCTTTGAAACATTAAACAACGTCGAAGTGGTTAAGCACCTTATATCCCATGATCTGTTCTCTGACAAAGAATACTGTTTCCGCTTTACCCATTTTACAGCTGATGTGCTCACGGCCATAACTGAAATTGTTTACCAAGCATTTCACAATAACGGAGAATTTCGTGTCTTGGCTCTAGATATCTCTAAAGCATTTGATAGGGTTTGGCATACCGGCCTCCTTCAGGGATACGGAATTTCAGGTCAGTTATCTGACTTAATACGATCATCCCTGTCAAAACGTGTAATGAAAGTCGTCCTTAACAGATTTTCCTCCAGTTCCTTTCCTACGAACGCAGGTGTTCCCCAACGCTCTATCCTGGGCCCTACTCTGTTCCTTATCTTCATGAACGATCTTCCCGATGTTGTCAGTTCCCAAGTAGGCATCTATGCAAACGACACAACTATTTACTCCTGTCTCAAAAGCAAATCAGGTATTATTGATAAAACTAACCTGACCGTTTGTCTCGAAAAGGACCTTCAATCGGTTGTGAACAAGGACAGGAATTGGGTGGTTAACTTTAATGCCTCAAAAACAAAACTGCTCTCTATTACTCACAGCAAGGAACCATCCCTGCCTTTCATTAGAATGTCTGATGCTCAACTCCACGAGAGCACCTCTCTGCGACTGCTTGGTCTCAAACTGCCCGCTAACCTGAAATAGAACAATTACATTGAATCAATAGCTTCATCCACCACAAGGAAAGTTGGTTCTCTGTGTCGCGCGAGAAAGACTTTCTCGCCTGAGTTCAT